ATATCTCCAACTTTCTGCAGTGGTTTCAAGCAGCTGCTCCTTTTCAGCAAGCCCTTTGCAAATATTTTACCTCTAGCGCTTTTGCTCCGTAACTGAGCACCCTGCAGGGTGAATCATAGCCACGGGACACAGACCCAAGACACTTTTGGTGGCCTTTGCACCGATTTGGTTAGTGTGATTTCATCCTGCGGCTCTATCTGCGCTCACCGAGTCACCATCAAAGCAGCATCTCACCAAACCACTGCTTGCAACACCAAAGTTCAAAGCAAGACGAAACTGCTTTTTATTTATTTTATTAAAAGATGGGGCGCATCTCATCTCCACAGACACGACCATGACGATGCCTGTCAGTTTTACTGCATTCAGGATTATACTTAAGGTCTGTGGCTAAGGACAAGAGGAGACGAGAAGGTTAAAGCAGGCTGGTTCCCCCAGAAAAGGCAGGAATAACCTTTTACCCTTCTGCCCTGTGCCCGGGGGAAGCACCCGTCCCCAGCACGGTGCTTATAGCACAGGACATGAGCATCACATCCGAGTCTTCTCATCAGACAAGCCAGAGCCGGAGGCAGAAACTGAAAACAATTCTGTTTTTCTAGGGCATTCCTCTATCTCACATAAACACTGCAGTAAATACAAGCTGTCTAGACGGGGAAGTTTTTTTGAAATTGCTTTACAACCTCTCTTGCCGATACGGGTTATTTCATAACTCCGTCTTCTGGGGCCCGGCAGGAATTCACAGCCTGTGCGGAGCAGCGACTCGCAGCAAGGGGGTATTTCATGTTGCACCGCAGCCTCATTGATCTCCAGCTTCTACCGCCCATTTCCTTTAAATCCTTCTAAGCCTCCAGCTTTAAAAGTTAATGGCACGGGTTATAGCCATCATTGCACGTGGGGGAGGCTCACACATCTCCGGGAGAGATCGCACATCCGAGCAAGGGAACTGCTGCATCCCGACAGCATCTTTACCAGCGAGCGAGCAAGAGCCATTCCACGGTTTCAGGTTGAATGGATCTAACCTCATCCCGGCTAATCCTCCACGGAGCATCGGCTGCATCCCGCTGCCTTTGCTCACCCAGGACCTCCTGAACCTCCTGCCTGCAGGAGGGTGTCTAGGGCTGTTGCTCGGGGGTGTTTTGCGGCTGCTTTAGTAATGATAACTTGTTGGCTTTGGAGCATTACTCAAGGACTGTGTTAAAATTAGCTAGATTTATTCTGAGGCCGTTTTAGTCAGCAGTCGATCACAACTTTGAGACAGTAAATGATGCACAGGAGAAATAAAGGGAGAAAAAAAAAAAAGAATGATCTCCACAGGGCCCATCCAAGCCCCAAATCAATGGGGTCACTTACATTGTCCACGTCCATCCAGAGCCAAACCGTGGCTCAACCCACAGCCACGAGAGCATCCGCATGATGCTGTCCCCATCCCTGCATCCCGTGGGTGACCAGCAGCACAGGACCACGTAAAAGCTGGTCCTTAGGAAGGGCAGGGATGTGGGTTAAGTTAACCCGTCGGGAAGGAAGTCCGGAGGAGGGACCGGGCACGGAGCCACGGTGCTGAACC